TATATTATGCTTTTAATCTTAATTACTTAATCAAAATTACTTTTTATCAAACGCGTTGGACTAGTAATAATCTAAGGATTGCTGGCTCTGTGGGTTTAAGTCTCGTTATGGGCACGTCATGGTTTCCTTGAGCACGAAATCCTGCTTGCGTGACCCTAAGTTATGATTGGTTATGTGTATAATAAGAAATCCCTTCATTAATTTCAAACTTAAAATATTTATTAGAAAATTAATAACAATTTTAACGGATGTCATTTTTAACCTGTTCAAAATATATTACACAAGGTTAGCTTTTAAAAAAGCTAGTAGCGACTCGCTTCGTAATTTTTTTCCAGGGGTGCGTTTAAATGTAAAAATTACAGTTCTGTTAGCTGAAGAGACTTGAGCGAACATCAAAATAAAAGTGATGGAAGCCAGTTCTCTCAGTTTAACAAAGTGGAATATGAGTATATATGAAGATGCATGTAAACAGATAAAATGAAGTCCCTATGTCTATGCACATTTACTGTATAGCCTGTTGACCTTGACCAAATAAATGTTAGATAGGTAGAATTCATAACTCTATATGACTCTTTATACGAAGTTAAGTTGTAACATGTTATTTAGTATTGGAATGAGTGACAGACACAATTCCTAAAGAAAACACAAGTTGTCAATCAATTCAGCCAGAAAAGCCGGGATCTTATTAAAAATATAGGGATCCCGGAAATTGACAAGTCTAAGATGTTTTTCAGATAAGCCGGGATCCTATTAAAACATATAGGGATCCCGGGAATTGACCAGTTAGAGAATATAGTTTTCAGAAAAGCCGGGATCGTATTAAAATATAAAGAGATCCCAGGAATTGGCCAGTTCAAGAATATAGTTTTCAGAAAACCTGGGATCGCATTAAAACATAAAGGGATCCCGGGATTTGACCAATTCAAGAACGTAGTCTTTGATTTTTCCAATTAATTCGGCATATAATTATAAGTTTTGTGATTTCCGCATTTTAAGTTTGTTAATAAATAGCTCTAAATATATTTATATCCTAACTTTTTTATTGAATTTAACGTTCATTACATACAATAAAAAAAAACTTAACGTTTAATGGCCTTTCATTACGACAATAATCAACACAAATATAGTTTATTTGTTTTTCCTCTATATCTTATACGATCCCGGATCCCGGCCAGTCCGGGCGTCCCGGATCCCGGCCAGTAAATATATACACTAAATACCGGAAAAGATAAAATGACCGGAAAAAGGAAAAAGAAAAAAATGCACAGAACCAGATGTACACTTATGTTAATTAACCAAACGAAAACTTACTACAGAGGAACAGGTGAGATCGCTAAATCAAAAGTCAGTGTAAATATGATTTATTGAAAAGAATTCATGAAAACAAACATTTTAATCATCAGTATATCTTTGCGCTCTAAAAAATACTTGCGGCTTTTTAAAAATGGCGTGAAAATTAAAGGTTTTTTGACGCTATGTAAGATTAAATTTGATTGGCTAAGTAATTTTTGATCCTAGCCCTGATAGATTAATTTTGTAGAAAGCTGGAAGCCAAGCTTCGATTGAATTTTTGGATGGATTCGGAGTTTTAGGTTGTTTCTCAGTAAAATCCTAACGTAATACCGGCTAGCCGGCAAAAGGGGGAAACGAGTTCGTGAAGTGTCTCTACTCAGTGGACAGTAGGTTTATAGCAATAAAATTTACCTTATTTGTGTAATAACCTACTTGTTGTTAATCATGCAGTAAATTTTAGATTTCTGTAATCATTGCATGAATCTGTCATCACATACAGTGTCGTGTACATCACTGGTGCCAGTTAAACAGTGTGTTGTACATCACCGGTGCCAGTAATACAGCGTGGTGTACATATCCGGTGCCAGTAATACAGTGTGTTATATATTACCGGTGACAGTAATACAGTGTGATGTACATCACCGGTGCCTGTAATACAGCGTGGTGTACATATCCGGTGCCAGTTAAACAGTGTGTTGTACATCACCGGTGCCAGTAATACAGCTTGGTGTACATATCCGGTGCCAGTAATACAGTGTGTTATACATTACCGATGCCAGTAATACAGCGTGGTGTACATATCCGGTGCCAGTAATACAGCGTGATGTACATATCCGGTGCCAGTAATACAGTGTGTTATACATTACCGGTGCCAGTAATACAGTGTGTTGTACATCACCGGTGCCAGTAATACAGCGTGGTGTACATATCCGGTGCCAGTAATACAGTGTGTTATAAATAACCGATGCCAGTAATACAGCGTGGTGTACATATCCGGTGCCAGTAATACAGTGTGGTGTACATCACCGGTGCCAGTAATACAGCGTGGTGTACATATCCGGTGCCAGTAATACAGTTTGTTATACATTATCGATGCCAGTAATACAGCGTGGTGTACATATCCGGTGCCAGTAATACAGTGTGGTGTACATCACCGGTGCCAGTAATACAGCGTGGTGTACATATCCGGTGCCAGTAATACAGTGTGTTGTACATCACCGGTGCCAGTAATACAGTGTGTTGTACATATCCGGTGCCAGTAATACAGCGTGGTGTACATATCCGGTGCCAGTAATACAGGGTGGTGTACATGTCAATTAAGATTTGAACAACTGATTTTGATCTTATCATAAAATTTCATATTATATCGATTGTGAAATGTATTTTACGAACGCACGAGTGCATTTACTGGTTGCTGAATGCCTGAGGATACTTTAAGTAGCTTTTGATTTGTTTTGAAACAACATTCTTTATGATTTCCATTTAATTCATAACAACAACTTAACTATTTCATTTCATTGATACATATCTGTTTGGCTTTTTGTAATAATAACAATATTGAATAATAATAATAATGATGATGATAATAATGATGATGAAATGGGCATGATGCTCGCGAGTGCGGGTAACTAATGTAATGATAATAGATGATGTTGATAATTGTACGTGATAATGATGATCGATGATGATGATGTTCTGGTGGTGACGACGACGATAATAATAATAATGATATAATGGTGATAATAGTCATACCTTTTTGTACATGTAGTTAGTTTAGTTAATAATTGTTATTTATAAAATATTTAAAACATGAATGTTTTTTACAAAATGCATATATAGGAAAACATACCCGTTAACGCAAGCAGAAATATCCCGGCAAGTAATGAACGAGTTGAAGAATTCATGGCTCAAGTTGTAAAACAGAAAACTTGAAAATGTTTTATCTATCTAACGGATGTTGTTTCATATATATACATTTATTTAACACGGTTAGTGATTATATAATACTCAACAAATTCCCCCATCCTAATTGTTGTTGACGCATGATTAAAATTTCAAAATAATCCAAACTTGATTAATCATTTTGGAGCGGGACTTTTCTTAGGTATTTATTTATAAGTTAAATCTCTGAAAGGGTGTAACCGCTGTCAATCCTCAGGTAAAAAAAAGATCTCCCATTTTTTGCTTTCATAAAATAAAATTATATACACGTCAAATGAAGGACTTCAAAGTCTTCTTGAAAGATATTGGGGACTTGTGCATTAATTTTTGTAAATAAATTGAATTGAATTGTTAGAGTTCATCCATGCTGTTCTACAGAAATTAGAAACTTCGACGGGAGCGACAACGACGTATCGACTTTATTACTTCTATGCAAATTAACACTCGCAATTTTGAAGAAATACAGCGTTTCCATTGGATGACAAATAAAGTTGGACACTAATAGGACATTGTGTAAGTCCATAATGATAAACAAACAAGCTAATAATAGGACATTAATTGTGTAAGTCCATAATGATAAACAAACAAGCTAATAATAGGACATTAATTGTGTAAGTCCATAATGATAAACAGACAAGCTAATAAAAGGACATTGTGTTAGTCCATAATAATAAATAAACAAGCTAATATTAGGACATTAATTGTGTAAGTCCATAATGATAAACAGACAAGTTTATAATAGGACATTAATTGTGTAAGTCCATAATGATAAACAAACAAGCTAATAATAGGATATTGTGTAATTCCAAAATGATAAACAGACAAGCTTATAATAGGACATTGTGTAAGTCAATAATGATAAACAGACAAGCTTATAATTGGACATTGTGTAAGTCAAAAATGATAAACAAGCAAGCTAATAATAGGACATTGTGTAAGTCCAAAATGATAAACAGACAAGCTAATAATAGGACATTGTGTAAGTCCATAATGATGAACAGACAAGCTTATAATAGGACATTAATTGTGTAAGTCCATAATGATAAACAGACAACCTAATAATAGGACATTGTGTAAGTCCATAATGATAAACAGACGTGCTAATAATTGGACATTGTGTAAGTCAAAAATGATAAACAGACGAGCAAATAATAGGACATTGTGTAAGTCCATAATGATAAACAGACGAGCTAATAATTGGACATTGTGTAAGTCAAAAATGATAAACAGACAAGCTAATTATAGGACATTGTGCCAGTCCATAATGATAAACAGACGAGCTAATAACTGGACATTGTGTCAGTCAAAAATGATAAACAGACAAGCCAATAATAGGACATTGTGTAAGTCCATAATGATAAACAGACGAGCTAATAATTGGACATTGTGTAAGTCCGTAATGATAAACAGACGAGCTAATAATTGGACATTGTGTAAGTCAAAAATGATAAACAGACGAGCTAATAATAGGACATTGTGTAAGTCCATAATGATAAACAGACGAGCTTATAATAGGACATTGTGTACGTCCATAATGATAAACAGACGAGCTAATAATAGGACATTGTGTAAGTCCATAATGATAAACAGACAAGCTTATAACAGGACATTGTGTACGTCCATAATGATATAAAAATACCATGTCTTTAATGATATCAGAAATATCACTAACAGTATTATTTTAAACCGAATCTGTCTTACAAACTAGTACACCTTTTTCGTAGCCAATTATACATGTTAACTGTACAGGGATATCACAACAAAGATTCTGTGATAAAATAAATCCTTTATTTCGTTTGTAACACTAACAAATTCTACATCTTAAACAAGTTTTGTATATTACAGTGCAATGAAAGACAATATTTTTGTAAGAGAAAATAAACAACTTCATTTTGTGAAACAGTTCAAGTAATTTGGTCAAAAATATAAAAAAGGTTTCAGTTTATTCAGGGATATATTATACTAATATAACGTTCGTAATCAAACAAGACAAAATAAACTTGATATCACTCGACAGATTTCAGAATTTTATAGGGAATGTTAAAGAAAGTTTTTCAGTGTAAAACTGGCGAGTATAAACGAAATCAGTGCGAATGCCGACATCTTCCCCATCCGGGCACTTCCGTTACAGGCCTGGCTCGAGCAATAACAGTATTTGATACTGCAGAAGAACTTCTGGTTGCAGCGTTTCATAAACTCTGTAATACAAAATACAGTACTACAGTTATCACATTTGTTCATTTTAATACATATTTCGCAGGTACGGATCTTGAAATTTTCGACTTCAGGGGCTTAAGTTTGAAATAACCAAACTAGGGGGACGGGGGGTCCTTCTCACACAGGAAATAAGAAATGAAATCTACATGTTAATGGTTGGCTTCTGATGCTATTTAGATGCATATTTTTAAATACAAGTTACTAAATATTTTAGGCGTCAGGTGTTTGTTTATTTTTTAATTCTAGTCTGTCTTTGAAAAAAAATCTACAAATAAAATGGAGGTTTCCAATACGTTTGCAAGTACACATTTTTAAAAAAAATCACATTGCTACAAATTTCCAAAAGATTTAAGTCTTTATTAAATTCCGGCCAGATTACACATTTAAAATGTGTAACGCTATAGATTGTTCAGAGTAGTAAGCTAGCCGGTAGAGGTGCGGTACGGGATAGACTTTCAGGGTCTTGGTTCGAATCCCTGTCGGGTTGTACATTTTCATACCCATCTATAAGCTTAGGAGGGAAACATAATATATGTATATTTACTAACCGCTGTCGGGGTCAGATCCTTTAGACCTACACATCTCCGGACAGGCTGTTGACTGATTATTTATTGAAATTTGCACCTTACACGGCGAGCAATCCATACAATCCGAGCTTGCAAGCTGAGCTGAAAATAAAATTGTAGAGATGTAAAAAAAAAATATCAATTTTGTATTTGAATTGATAATTGCATCTTCTCGGCTCTTTCCGTTAAACTTCGGATAAGGTTAATGAATTACCGCCGAGGTGTCCCGACTTGTTGTAATTTCCACACTGTAATACCGGCGCCAGTGATGACAGGTTGCTGAAGTGATGACAAAACTCCAAATTTGCCGATTACTACAGGTAAAGGCTATAAGCTTAGTTGGTATATTTATATAAAGCAATTAAGATCAATTTCTTTTCGTTGCTTTAGACCTTATATGTAACTTCGTACTCGTAAAATGTTTTAAGTCAATTAGAAGCTATGATAGCATAAATAGGATTTTGTTACGTAGAAAGTCGTGTAAGGAGAAATTATAGACTTATTAGGATTTTAACTACTAATTGGCAGAAAAAACTAACTATGACTATGCTAATTAGAATGTTTGTTTCTTCCTTCTTTTTTATTATATTACAAGAAGAAATAAAATCCTAATAAGTGCCATGTATAAACATCTACTATGATGTTCAAACTAGGATATTAGGCTTTTATTAAAGCTTAACCTTAGGATTTTCCTATTTCTTAAAATGGACTTTCTACGCTCTTCAAAGTCCTCATTAGGTTTTCATTTCTCAACTTTAAATTAGAACTTACAAAGACTAATCCAATTCATACATAAAGGGTTACTAAGTGGCAAAAATAAAATATTTCTCGAATTTAGAGGAAAAAACTATTTTTAATTGCGAGTAACAATTTTGTTTTTGTTATTTCTCCTATTTAGGAACAAGAAAGACCTTATTACGATTTAATAAGTCCTATTTAAAAGTACCATCGTCCATTTGGCTTTGAAGACTTGTTGGTTCTAGTAAGTTTTCATAGATCATTAATATTTTTAGAAACAGGGTGTTTTTCGTACCAAAACATTTTAGAAAATCTGTGTCATTTTTGTTAGAGATTTTCGACCGTGTGACCACATACACGCATCGAGGACATGTAAGAAGGAAAGTGACCGTGCGACCACATACACGCACCACAGGATTTCCCTTCTCATTCGAGAAAGGGACAAAGAGTTGTCCGCCCATTTATCAAAGGGCAGACATTTCCCTAATGATATAATTAAGGAGGCTTATTGATATATCTAAATACGGTATATATACCACTACAGTTATGCAAATCAAGCGGTTATTACAAAACATGAACGTTTCTAAAACGTTTTATATGCATATATATGCGGGAAATATATTTCACACTTTGTTTTCAAATATTAACCTGGGGGCATTACCTATTCTCGACTTTTCCTACTTGTAATAGAAGAGGTTTGGTTTAATTTAAACATATGTATTTAAGCTCGATTGCGGAACAAGTTCTTGCAACTTATATTAATCACTTTCGAATCCGCTTCCTGGAACCAACCATGAATGGTGGCATATGAAGAAACATGGTCGTGACCTGATTACTGCTCGAACCCATGAATCCTGGGTTGAGAGACAGACACCTTAACCACTAGGCCACCGCTCCCCTAGGTAATGTTATGATCGAGCGGCAAAATAATATTTATTAAGCCTAGGCAGCTGACATTGCTGACACCGGTAAGACTGTACAGAGTTGCAAGCTAAATCCGTAACATATTGAATTTGTGAAATGGACTTTTCAAGCTTCCATTTTTTTATTCAATTGTCCATTATAAAGGTAGATATTTAAAAAAGCTAGTCAGTTAACAGCACAATAAAATTACATGATCAGAATACACGGATGTTCCACCTGGCATTTAAACCATCACGGTTCCAGCAGTGTAAAGATGCAGTGTTGTTAACAGTTATCAAATTTACACAAATTTCCTTTGTTTAAACGTGTTGGACTAGTAATCTTAAGGATTGCTGGCTGTGTGGGCTCAAGTCCTGTCAGGGGCACAACATTGTTTCCGTGAGCTCGAAACCTTGCTTGCATGACCCTAAGTTATGATGAGTTATGTGTATAATACGAAATCCCTTTATTTATTTCAAACTTGAGATATTTATTAGAAAATTAATAACCATTTTCACGGATGTCATTTTTAACCTGTTCAAAATATATTACAAAATGGGGAAAACGAGTTCGTGAAGTGTCTCTACTCAGTGGACAGTAGGTTTATAGCAATAAAATTAACCTTATTTGAGTAATGTAATAAGACGAACTGAATGATAACCTACTGGTTGTTAATCAGTAAATTTAGATTTCTGTAATCATTGTATGAATCTGTCATCACCGGTGCCAGTAGTACAGTATGGTGTACATTACCGGTGCCAGTAATACAGCGTGGTGTACATATCCGGTGCCAGTAATACAGGGTGGTGTACATGTCAATTAAGATTTGAACAACTGATTTTGATCTTAACATACAATTTCATATTATATCGATTGTGAAATGTATTTTACGAACGCACGAGTGCATTTACTGGTTGCTGAATGCCTGAGGATAATATAAGTAGCTTTTGATTTGTTTTGAAACAACATTCTTTATGATTTCCATCTAATTAATAACAACAACTTAACTATTTCATTTCATTGATGCATATCTGTTTGGCTCTTTGTAATAATAATAATAATAATAATAATAATAATAATATTTATAATAATAATAATAATAATAATGAAATAATATTTTTGATGATAATATAATAAGTATAATAATAATAATAATAATTGTCATCATAATAATAATCATAATGATTAAAATAACACTGCTACTACTACTTGATGATGATGTTAATGATGATGATAATATTAATATTAAAATAATAATAATAATAAAAATAATAATAATAATAATGATGATACTGGTGGTGGTGACGACGACGATAATAATAATAATATATTATGGTGAT